GCTACTACTACTACTACTACTACTACTACCACTACTACTACTACTACTACTACTACTACTACTACTATCACTACTGCTACTGCCACTACTACTACTACTACTACTACTACTACCACTACTACTACGACTACTACTACGACTACTACGACTACTACGACTAGTACTATTACTACTACTGCTACTACTACTACTACTACTACTACTACTACGGCCCCGAATGCGACCACTACCCTTGCTAAGATTTCCCAAACAACAACTACTCCCACTACTACTACTGCTTACTACGCCTACGACTACTACTACTACTACTTTTAGTACTGCTACTAGTACTACTACTACTACTACTACTACTACTACTACTACTACTACTACTACTACTACTACTACGACTACTTCTACTCTTACCACTGTTACTGCTACTGCGACTGAAAAGTGTATGATTACTGCTACTACGACTACTGCTACTACAACTACTACTACTAATAATAATAATAAAATGATACTACTACGACTACTACTCTGACTACTACTACTACCACCACCGATATTACTACTGCGAGTACCAATACTACGACTGCTACTACTACCACTGCTACTACTACTACCACTACTACTACTAATACTACTACTACGACTACTACTACCACCACCACGACTACCATTACTTCTACTACTACTATACTGTTACTATTACTGCTGCTAGAACTTGTGTTATCACTGCTACTACTACTACGACTACTACTACTACTACTACTACCACTACTACTACTACTACTCCTACTACTACTACTACTACTACTACTACGACTACTACTACTACTACTGCTACTACGACTACTACTACGACGACTACTGCCACTGCAACTGCAATACTACTACTACTACTACTACTACTACTACCACTATTACTACTACTGCTACGGCTACTACTACAACTACTACTACTACTACTACTACTACTACGAGTACTACTACTACTACTACTACTACTACTACTACTACGACTACTACGACTACTACTACTACCTCATACTACTACTACTACTACTACTACTACTACTACTACTACTACTACTACTACTACTGCTACTCCTACTACTTCTTCTTCTTCTACTACTACTACTACTACTACTACTACTACTACTGCTACGACTACTACTACTACTACTACTACTGCTACGACGACTACTACTACTACTACTACAACTACTACTACTACTACTACTACGAATACTACGACTGCTACGACTACTACGACTACCAGTGCTACTACTACCACTACCCCTGCTACCATCAGTACTACTCTGACTACTGCTACTACTACTACTACTACTACTACTACTACTACTACTACTACTACTACCACTACTACTACTACGTCTACTACTTCTACTACCACTACCACTTCCACCACAAGCGCCACCATTGAGTCGACTACCACTACTGCTACAAATACGACCACTACGACGACGACGACACTACGACTCCTACGATGGCCACTATTATACGACTACTTCAAGTACTACTACTACTACTACTACTACTACTACTACTACTACTACTACTACGACTGCTGCTGCTACTACAACTGCTACTACTACTACTACTACTACTACTACTACTATGGCTACGATTACGACGACGACTACTACTACTACTGCTGCTACTACTCCTACTCCTACTACTACTACTACTACTACTACTACTACTACTACTACTACTACTACTACTACTACTACTACTACTACTACTACTACTACTACTACTACTACTACTACTACTACTACTACTACTACTACTACTACTACTACTACTACTACTACTACTTACTACTACTACTACTACTACTACTACTACTACTACTACTACTACTACTACTACTACTACTACTAAGAATAATAACACTCATACTAATTATACTGCTACGACTGCGAACACTACGACTACTGACTACGACTACGACTACGACAACTACTTCTACTACGACAATACTTACTACTTCGTACGCTATTACTACTTACTTACCACCACTATACTAATACTACTATACACTACTACTATACTACGACTACCACTACCACTACGAACTAGTAGACTACTATACTACTACTACTACTACTACTACTACTAGACTACTTACTAACTACTACTATACTACTACTACTACTACTACCTACTACTACTACTAGTACTACTGACATACTAACTACTACTACTACTACATTACGACTACTACTACTATTAATACTACTACTACTATACTACTTACTACTACTACTACAAATACTACTACTACGACAACCACTGCTGCACTTACTACCACTATTACTACTACTACTACTATACTACTACACTACTTACCTACTACTACTATTACTACTACTACTACTACTACTACTACTACTACTACTACTATTACTACTACTAAGAATAATAACACTCATACTACTACTACTGCTACGACTGCTAACACTACGACTACGACTACGACTACGACTACGACAACTACGACTATCGACCACTACTTCTACTACGACTACTACTACTACTTCTACTACTACTACTACTACTACTACTACTACTACTACTACTACTACTACTACTACTACTACTACTACTACTACTTAACTACTACTACTACTACTACTACTACTACTACTACTACTACTACTACTACTACTACTACTACTATTACTACTACTACTACTACTACTACTACTACTACTACTACTACTACTACTACTACTACTACTACTACTACTACTACTACTACTACTACTACTACTACTACTACTACTACTACTACTACTACTACTACTACTACTACTACTACTACTACTACTACTACTACGATGGCCCCTGAGGCCCCCTGTTGTCCCAAGACGGCCCCGAAAGGAGCCCAAGAGGGGGAACACGAATCACCAATTCCAGCCCTCCATCCCAAGAAGCCCCCAGGAGGTCCCTAGAAGGCCCCCAGAGATCCCAGGGAGGCCCCCTGGAGGCCCCACGAGGCCCCCAAGAGACCCCAAAAAATGCCCCAAGAGGCCCCACAATGGCCTCCAAGAGGCCACAAAAGGCCCCGAACGCGCAGGCGAACGCATGCGATGGAACAATACGGACCGGCGGAATGAGCGAAACGATTCAAGAAAGAGTGGACAACAACAAATTAAAATGAAGACGACGACGGCGACAACGATGACGGCGGCGGCGGCGGTGGACAGAAGCGACCTCTGTGGTGACTCGCTGTGGTGGTCTGGTGGTCTGGTGGTCTGGTGGTCTGGTGGTATGATGGTCAGGTGATCAGGTGGTCTGGTGGTCAGTTTGTGTGGTGGTCTTTGTGGTATGTTGGTCAGGTGGTCGGGTGGTCAGGTGGTCAGGTGGTCAGGTGGTCAGGTGGTCAGGTATGTTGGTCAGGTGGTCGGGTGGTCAGGTGGTCAGGTGGTCAGGTGGTCAGGTGGTTAGGTGGT